GGCTGAATTGCACAAAACGCATGATCGCACCGGCTAGTCTGGTGCGCGTTGCCATTTATTTGTTTTACATACAAGAAATCGAGTCTGAAAAAAAGTCTAGGCGAAGTTGGCGATGGAGTCGATTTGCACTGGATGCGCTTGCGGCCGCTGAATCCGTTCTTTTCTCCTCGGTTCGGTGTAAAATCACATCGCACTTCGTTCCGGTCGGTACCTTTTGGTTAATGTGTGTGTGCGTTTAAGAATGTTTTCCTTTTGCTTCAAAAATGTGAGTAAAATGGTTTTTTAGAGCGTAAAAAATGTGTTTTAAGTATATGTAGAAAATGAGATTTCTCAATTACTGTGACCACTTTTGGTGTTTGACGATACAGTTTTCTCACAGTATGCTGTGCTTCCCATGATTTCTTCGTCCAGTGTTTTGCCAAAAACTGTTAGTATTTGGGGGGGTTTGTCGGTCTCTAGCGCAGGTTATTATCACAGGATTTAAGTGTCTGATCAGAAAATAACGAAAGAATGGTTCAGTTGTCGCCTTGAACACTCATTTTGTAGCGGATGGTTTTTGTGGATTCTAAATCTCTGTAGATCAGACCTTTTGGTTTCTGGCCTACCATGCACCTGTTAATAGTTAACGTTCTGGTGCTTATCTGAAGTGAATTTCATAAAAATTTGATATTTTCAAACTGTAAAGTGGCCATCCTTTGCTAATATGTTGCTTCAGGTGCGTATGGGACTGGTCTATACAATAGAAGCAATTTCGCCGACATCATCGGATGCGCGAATCCCGGTAGTTCTGATTCACGGCTTTGCTGGCGGTGTAGGGCTTTGGGCAGCCAATATTGATGCCGTTGCAAAGCGACGCTTTGCCTACTGCTTTGATTTACTTGGTATGCTTCCATCTCTTACCGCAATTGCATATCAGCGTTTTTATAAGCTCTTATAGCGCCGCATCAAAATTTTTTTGCCGAAAACGATTGCCCGGGCGAACTCTGTAGTGTTTCAATGTCGAGGGGACACTCTCACACTTGTCGAGCGCATCTGCGACAGTCTTTTCTGACTTCCATGTTTCCACTTTCCTACTTGCATCATTCATGTTCTGAAGATACCTGGAGCAGCCTTTACTAGCTTACCATTCTATTATGACTGTCATTTTCGAAAAAAAAACATTTGGAAAATAGGATAAAAAAAGATATCCGGAATTGTTTGGATAAATATTTGACAGCTTGTGCTAACAGTAGTTTCAAATATAACACCTCACTAAATTGTACTGTTACCAGTCGTCGTAATGACGAGGTCCAACTGTGGCGACGGTAAGAAATGTATACGACTTAATGGACCGAAACATTTCTTACCGACTTTAATAATTCTTTACAACCCTTTCATCTTTTGTTCATATTTTCTCCAAAACCTTAATTAAATCAGTCTTTTATCGGATTACGAATTTGTTGCGGTTTTTTTCTTGAATAGTTGCAGTTCTAATCTTGATAATAAAAAAAAAAAATTACCAGGTGATTTTTGCACTGCCAGTACTTCAAAAAATATCACTGTTATTGTCAGAACAATAATTATCTCTTACTACCACTGCCATTATTGTTTTTGCTGTTACTATTATTACGACTATTGCCCCCGATAATATTGAGGGTAAGGTTATAATTTTTGCGATTTACTGTGGCATCTCTTACCCCTTTAGAATGGCCCCCGAACTTTTCTTGCAATATTCTTATACTTCACGTCTTTGTCAGTTATTAAAACCGTCATGCTGACCTAGTCTATCAGTGGTACTAATTTGGAATGTGTGCGACTTAATGGATCGGAATATTCTAATTGAAGATTCTCTTTTCTTTGCATTTATTACTGTTATTTGTTATATTTTATATTTTATTTTACTATATTTTATTTTATTAGATTAATTGCCGTATTTAGATTACTTAGACTAGTTACCGTAAACTGCTATAATCAGTATCAACCATCATCGAACATCATCACTACCCCTGATAATTATCAATACTGCTGTTTTTTCTTCTGTTCTTATTGTCATAATTATTGGTACTATTGGTTCGCTTTTTTTTTTGTTTTTGACCAGTCTCTTAAACAGTCCTTGTGTTTTTTGTTTTATCTTTGCTTTGAACCGCCTTTTATTGAAATTTCGAAGAAATGAATCACAAATGCGCAGGTTTTGGCCGTTCATCACGCCCGACGTTTGCTAAGGATCCCGCACTGATCGAGCTGCAATTTGTACAGTCAATTGAGGATTGGAGGAAAGAAATGCAAATCAGCCAAATGATTCTTGTGGGTCACTCGTTCGGTTAGAATTTCACTCATTTTGCTTGTTTTTTTTTTCGTTTGGTCTTATTCAGAATTGATAGGCTTTTTTATCGGTAGGCTTAGCAGTGAGAAAAAAGCTCACAATCTGAAAGTTGCTGCTTTGCTTCATTCCTGGAAGAACTACTTCTATTAGTTTTGGCTGCAAACTGGTACTAGAATTAGAAGCATCATCAGCTTCTTTGCAAGCAGCTCATGGAAGTCGAAGCCAGCTATCCTTGCCAGCGAGTAGTTTCTATGTCGGTGTGCTTTTACTCGGCTTCTGTGTGTTTTAATGAGGCACAGACCATTGGTAAGGGTTTGAAGTAAATTCTGAAACGTAAAAATTTAAAGTGAATGATGCTGTTTTAATTAAACGGCTGGATTTCCGGGGACCTCCTTCAGTTCACGCTATTGCTGTACCATTAAAGAGCTATGACATTCGGCAATTATCATTGTTCTGTTTTTTTTTTTTTTTTCTTTGCATTTCGATCAGCTATTCTTTCATCGTTTTGTCCTTTTGTGCTATAAATGAAACTGACAGCTCGGTTTTGCTAGTTTTTGAGCTCAACACAATCGCCCAATTCTTTTAGTCCTTTGGACCTTAAAATATTGATGAAAAATATGTGTTATCTGAAAAACTCAGGCCCGTCAAATTCGATGCCTGTCAAGTTCATCATAATACTTTAGGCATGCTGTTTTAATAAAAACAAAAATAGCAAGTTCGTGACTTTTATGTTTTTCTGCCTTTTTTGTTGTAATGGTTCGCCGCAGAATCATTCTTGTATTCTTCGATGTATTTCTGTTTCAGGTGCATTTTTAGCAAGTTCTTATGCGATCGAGAATCCGGAACGGGTACGCCATTTGGTTCTCGTTGATCCTTGGGGATTTCCGGAAAAGCCGCCAGAACCGCCGAGACAAGTGGGTAACTTACATTCATTTCGCGTCTTCTATTCAAAAAAGAATTACCAAAAGTTCCTTTAGAATTACTAAAATAAATTCCTTCAAAATTTCTTTATTACACTAAAATAATCGCCGAATGAGACTTTTTCAATTTCCAGTTACATATTTACTGGGGCATAATTTTAGAAGCTAATTTTAGCGACATCGTCCAACATGGATATGGGCTGCAACACAGGCTATTTCTTTC